GAGACTGCGACCACACAAAAGGCCACACCATCTTGGTCTTCATATCTTCGATCCTAGTTTAAGTTTGTTTGAGATCTCTTTTTTTCTCATTCATATACCAGTTGAGACATCCTGTCAAGTCGTTGGCTCGGAGTTGTGGCCTATCATATGAAATCTCTCTACTAAAGTAGACTGCGATCAAACAGAAGGCCACATAATCTCATTCTTCATATCTACGCTCTACTTTTTGTTCCATGCTAAGCAAATATACATTTAAGAGAGTGGAATGCTAAACCATCTGAGTACAATTCATCTTTGGAAGACCCAAGTCAGGGCCATCAATTTATTCGAGCGGGAAGTAGCAGTATATCATGTAGGATACTAAATGACTACATATACTACGAGCTAATAGCCTTGGCTCATATGCGACTTTTACGTAGTTGTATCTAAATTTTAAGCAAATTGACAGAGCCTCTCTTTACAACTATTGCCGACATGTCCGTTTCTCATCCTGTCTATCCCTTTGGATTATGTGCTTTATGTCCTTAGATCCTCATGATAAAGTCATTCATTATTCTTATTTAATTTATTCGATATCCATTTGGTTTCCTTTAGCTATTACCATCGCCTCTATTGGTCTCTACTTCCTGCCAAGTCACGTGAATTTGTTGAGGTTTTCGGTGCCACCAGCGGTTGTGATGACATCCTGTTCAACTGTCTAATCAGCCACATAACTCAGCAATGCCCGATCAAGCTTCTTCATCCCGATGACACTAACCAACTCTTCCAGAGTGCTTTTATTCCTCTTTTCCAGCCCTTGACACCATCTAGGGGGCTCAATCGAACTCTCGCCAACTCTACTTTCTATACTTTTGCAGCTGACTCGCACTCAGCTGCGTCGCCATTACAGTGGAACTCAATGTATGAAACTTTTAAGAAGGAATACGCACACCTTCGGAGACAACAGGATGTCGCGCATCAACACGTTTGTTTGCAAGCATTCAGCACTCTCTTTCCGGTGACCCCTAATAATTTGGCCATGACTGAGGAAGATATTAATATGTCTTTTGGGTCCCAACAGAACTTTGCTTGGATTTCCAGAAGCCGACCAAATGCCGACTGGAAATCGAGCTTATCTGACCGGACAATTCTACCTTTTCCTGGTCTTTTAATGGCTGCTCCAAACGAGGATATGGTTTTGCCTCTATTACGTTCTTCTGTTTGGTTAGTTAAAAATCGATATTTGGACTATAGCTCATTTTGCTATAGCATTTATCCTCAACTTTCCTTCTGGTTTTATCCATAATTATTTCCTCCATACATTATAAAGAAATAATTATTTATTAAAAACAGGTAGCTCAGTTAAGTTGGAGGTTACCTGTTTGTGGCTGTCCAGGACGGTGCTCGACAGTTTTTTCTCAATTTTAGCTGTAATTGGATAAAAATCGACATCATTATCAGATGCTTCTTTGTCTACGATTATAATCGGATATTTGCCAGTTTTAACTCTTGCGTATCTCACTTTTTCTAGTCTATTGAGGCTTGCTAGAGAATGTGGATCTGGAAATCAAATTTCCCATCACAATTCTTCCCCATTTCACAATACTGTAATAGGAACTATACTTACCGTCGTTTGAGACAATGTAAAGACCAATAATTAAATTTATGACAATGAAGTGCGTAGAATAGCAGCTATTCTATTTTATTCAGCATTTTATTCCAAACGTCTCTCTTATCGAGGTTGGATTGAAGTTTTAGCCTCGTCTAGGTTTGATTGGTTCTTCTTATTGGACTCGAAACTATTTAGTGTACTTCAAATGGAGAAGTTACTACTCCACCGTAACCACGGGGGCCAGTGAGTCAGATAGAAGTATGACTTTCAGAGCAGTTTAGGCATGTTTCAACTTACTTTTCATATATTTGAACTTTTTTTGATAAAGCATTTTTGTGTTTCTATTTTGATAAACCTTACTATAAACCAAGTGAGCAGACTTCGAAACTTTCAGTAAGAATTTGAGTCGCTCTTTGTTAACCATTCGTTTACACATCATCTTAAGCAACCTATGAGGACTCAAAAACTTATGATAGATCTACTTATGATTTCTAAATCCACCTTTTTTATATTTAAGAATACATTCATAAGCGCTAATTTTTAATAAATTGCCTCAAATTTTGAAGTCACCCTCCATCATTCACCACTAAATTCGACGTCCTTTCCAGATAATGATTCTTTCTTGTATAAAATTATCACTTGATTTTCATTGGGTGATGCTTAATTTACATCTCGCCGAAAATGTGAATTAGATCGTGTGATGGCATTCACATTTACTTTGACTAATTTGCATTCGTGGCGATGTAGCAGTGGAAACTTGCAACCAATTAAGACATGCCGTCTGGCTATTTATATAGCTGAGAGTACTGATAAGATATCTTACATTAAAGCCGCAATCAACTCTTGTGGAGAAGACAATATTATTAAAGAGGTAAGTGAAATGTAATGGCATATCGGTGCCTTTTTAGAGAATCTAAAATATTCGTTATAAATGTGTGTTCGGCCTTGCGCTACCGTATAGAATACCTCGGCCTTGTATAGAGGAATGTAGCCAAATTGATTGTGCAGTAAAAATTACTACATCTTCATCTGTTTTTTGGTATTTCGACCATCAGGTCTTAGGTCACCAAAACAATTCTAATGAATGATTATATTTAATTCACTATATTTTGTAACTTTATATGAATAAAAGAGTATGCCTTTAAGTTGCTTATTCCTGATTGCTGTTAAAAAGTAACTAATGGTATCACTATCTCTTTTAAAGTAGTGTAATCCTTTATATTTTATTTGTTTCCAGGTGGAAACTTGAATAGAACTTGGTCTTCCCAATGAGGATATTTTTCTTCCCATGACCTTTTTATCGCATTTACTATAAGGTTTCCAACCTATGCATTTTATTTGCTATTTCTCAGCCTAACTCTTTGTTTTTTGAATCCTACTAATATGCCGAGTCTCTCTTCGAGTTGTATATACAATGTCTTATACTTATATTTCTTCTATTGTTTTTTTTCGAATTTCCTTGGGCTTTATTCTTTTTAAATAGATTACATATACACACATGCACCGATTTCGTTTTGCAATACTACCATCAGACCCTTATTTTGTGTTTGTATTTAACTAAGCTTTTCTTGGAATTGTGTTAAGCTTACTTGGCTGGATCGTCGTCTCATCTATTCTCGCAATCACAACGGGTTTAGTGCTGAGTTTTTAATGCCTTGAAAGAAACACCATAAAGACAAGAAACGTACTTAATAAGCCTCAAAGTCACAAGCAGTACGGAGTTCAACTGGGAATTAGGCTTATTGGAGCCGATTATATCAGTTGAATTTATTCACAACAAAGTCCAATAAACCTTCTCCTCTTGCATTGTACTCTTCTATTCGTATAAATTAGTTATCTGAACTATTGATAAATCTTAAATAAGAGTTCCAATCACCGTAAGTTGCATAGGGTGATAGAGGACCGGTAGTTAAGTTTCCAACAACTATAGATAAAGGCCTCACAATTCCATTAAATTTCACTTAGTCCTGTTTAGCATAATGTACGAAGAGTAACTGGGTGTCGATGAATCTCCTTCGATAAAATTTTTTGAGAAACATTCATTTTGTATGAAAGTGCATGAAGAAGAGATTCGTTGGTCGATCTTACCAGAATACGACGACTGAATCCCGTTGTACTGCAGCCGTTTGGCTCTACTACGTCGTTCAGGTTGACGTGCTCTACGAGACATCCTCTCTCGCTTCGGGTGAAAACGGGTTGAGCATTTTATTTTTACTCTTATACTTACTCATAATAAAAACAAAGATGAATAGACATATATAGCTATAGGATATTTTTGTCGATTATCTTTCATACTAGTCCCGCTACTTTTACTCGTGTGTGTGTGTGTTAATGTCTATATGCAATACTGGTCCTAAATCAGTGATCAAAGAAAGGTTAATGTTAGGCGCCGGTTATCAAGGCTCAATGATACAAGAAAAATCCCTGAGTAAGATTGAATAAGTCCTTAAGCATAATTATGGTTGAGATAATGAAATCTAAGCTTGTAAACATTTAAGTCAGGTTACGAAACCACCTTTCCTAACCTCTCAGTTTAGGGTCATTAACGCTTAACCATCCAAGAAAGGGCATAACTAGGGTGGCGTAATCTGGTATGTCTGGTTTGGTTGATGAGTTTAATCTAACATGTTGGACAATTGAGTGAATTAGAACCATCACTAAGCAAACAAGTTGAGTCGCCTTCTGGATGTAGGCTCAGTATCCTCTCTTTCAATCTACCAATCAAGTGTAAGTACGAAAAGAAACTTGGTTTCGATGAATCTCCTGAGATAACATTGTTAGGGGGACCTTCATTTCGAATGAAAGTGCATGAAGAAGAGATTCGTTGATGAGAATGTTTAGAAAAGGTAATGACTTATTCTCTTCCATTTCCATCGTAAACCTAATGTTTCTTTCACGCTAGTGGCGTGAAAATAGGAAATTATCTAAATTCTCCTTACCATGAGGCCAGATGACGAAATAGTCATCCATGTAT